CAAGACTCTTTGCGGATGTGAAATCTCACACCGTGCTAAATGACCATGGTAGCTCCAGAATCTCTTAAGCCAGACTCGCCGCCAATCTGGCCCATTGGCCAGCGAGCACATCAGTCGTACCGCCCTCCGGCGGCTAATCGTGTTGTCGACCCAGTGCATGAGAGGGTCTGTGCCGACCCTGCAAATAGACAGCAAATAAGTATTTTTATGTGACTCGATCTGACGCAATGCCTTCTGATCCGGGAAAAGGGCCGGCGCCGCCCACTGCCACTTGGCCGTCACAAATGAGTCGAATAAATTGAGTCTCAACGCAAGTGCGGTCCCCGAATCGTCAAGGAGTCTCTTAAATGCAAAGAACGTATTATTCGTCTTCCGAAGCAGGTGAGAAAGGATAACGGACGCCCCCACGTTATGTCCCACTGGGACTCCGAGGAACACAAGCTGGTCCTCTCCTTTCAGTGGGCATGCTGTCGCAGGGAGCCAAATGCCCGGGCACGTCTCGCCCCCGAGTTCATGCAGGACTTTACATTTGGCGGGGTTGACTTCAAGCCCTATCCGCTGAAGAGCACGAATCAACATTGTCACCTTAGTCTGCAAGGCTCTTTCCGAATCCGCAAAAACGATGAGATCGTCGGCATAAATCAGGAAATGTGGGATACCCTGAATGAACTCTGACCAAGACGGAAAGAGCGTCTCCATCTCTTCCGTCTGTGGTTTGAGAGCCCAATCCATCAAACGAGAGAACACATCCGCAGAAAAAGCTGACCCTTGCATGATCCCTCTCTGCAGTTCCAGCGTCCTCTCTACCCCCCCCACCCCTACCACAACCGATGTGCCAAAGCAGAGTTTGGCAAGTTGGATCGCCTCAGCACATGGGGCACACTCCAAGAGCCATCGAAGTATCGCCCTGTGCGAAACCGAGTCGAAGGCTGCTTTAATGTCGAGTTTAGCAACCTTGCAGGGAGATCCTGTCGTCTTGCGAACCAGGGTCATTACCGATTGCGCTGCAGTGATCCCATCAAGGACCTGTACCCCTGGTCGACATGCAAGCTGATTCGCCCCATACTCCGGAGCAGCTCTACGTAGTCTTTCCATGACGATCTTAGCGAACAACCTGCTGAGTGTTGGGACAAGACAGATAGGACGAAGGTCGCCTGGGCCGCTAGGGCGGGCAACTTTAGGAAGGAAGACAATCTTGCCTCGCAGCCACAGCTCAGGTACATCGACTTCCCTTTTCAGGAGCCTGGTGAAGTACTCAGGGATCCGATTTCTCTCATCTCTGGTCACGAGAGCCCTCAAACCCTCAAACGTCACCCCATCAAGCCCCGCACTCACCCCATTCTTGCACCTTGCTAGTGCCTCGCTGACTTCTTGCTTTGTTACGGGCACGACGGGTTGACATGCATGCATGTCGAAAAGCTGCTGCATTTCTTGCCCCGACAGAGCTGCCTCGGTACTAGAATACTTCTGTAAGTAAAAATGATGAAGATCCTTAGCCGCTTGAGCCAGTCCTCCCGCTCGCTGTATGTAAGAACCGTCAGTGAAGGACCCAGCTGCACTCCGTCTAAGATGAGCTATGGCTTTCCAATCTCCTTGCTTAGCTCTTTCCAACAAAGAGCTCTTGTGGTCCTGTCGAGCCTGCCGTCGCAAGAGATGTATTTCTTGCATCAGCGCAGTTTTGGAATCGACATCGCACATCTTCTTTCGCCTCTCTATCAATTCCTTCACTTCAGGCGGATCTTGGTACTTCAGCGAAGCCGGTCGAGACGACACGCCCGGTTGTCGGGCTGCAGTTGCAATGCACCCCTGGTCCCACGTGTCCTGGTCCTGCAATTGTGCAAACAATTCGTCCGCGTCGAGATTCCACTTACCACACAAGGTCTGCCTAGGCCTGCGGTGACGAATGGATGCCACAGAACGAAACAGCATCGTCGCACCAATAGGGTTGTGATCCGACGGAAGCGCCACCCTGAGGTCTGGTCTCTTCCAGAAGCTCAGCTCTGCCCCAGTCAGCCTGTATAGTAGAAAGTCGATGCAAGATTCCGACCCCCTAGCTATCCAAGTAGCCCCCTGGGGGGGGCTAGTTTCAAGACCTGCCTGGGCTACAAACTGTCTATAGTGGAGCATGCCATCGAAAGAATCATGAGCGTCCTGGTTCAGATCATGCCCGATAAGCACCTCCCCAGCCCTGCGTTGCAGCATAAGTGCATCCTGTACCTGGCTCAGCGTCGAGCGCCAAGTGTCCAGGGAGTCCGGCCGGTGAGCATGCGGCAAATGCAGAGAAGAGAGAAACCACTCCCTGTGTAGCATGCATCCTCTAACACTGACTCCACAATCATGCACATGCACCTCATGCAACGTAAATTCCAATTCACATGCAACGAGTATTACCGTGCATCTGTGGCAAAGCACTGGATTCGCGACGTACCCAACAAAGTCCTTTCCCGCAATCTGAAAAAGCTTCTCTGCATGCTTTCCTAATTCAACATCACGAACATCTCCCACTTCCTGAAAAAACATGACATGCGACGGCTGCTCCAGTTTGTCGAGCAGTGTGTGTACATGGTCAATACTTTTACCATGTAAATTCCAAGTCATGCAATGAAACTTAAGGGCTTCAGCTGCCCGAGGGGGGGTTGCCTCAGTGCATCGGGGAGTGGCATGCCACACATTCAGCGCTGAGTCCGTGACCCCTGACTGTGTCCCATGAGAGACATCTCCGTTCATCGCTCTCCCTCCCGATCCCTATTCTGCCCCGAAGAACTGCAAGATCTCCTCCTGGGGCGCTCCAAGCCGCGCCTCCAGCATTCTGACGTTAAGAAACCATCCGGTCTCATTTCCCCTGGCGTCCACGAGCATAAGCGTTTGCTCTGGACGTCGGTCCTTTTCGATATGGAACAGCACCTGGGTGCCATTCGCCCACACCTTCCCGCGCCAGTCCCTATCTACAGCGTGATCTCCAAGGTATTTCTGGCAGAGGCTCTGAACCTGAAGAATCGCTCTAATCTTTGCTCTCTCTCTGGGGGTTCTATTGCGGGAGAACCAGAAGGTGGATCGCTCTTGTCCAGGTGCTCTTGACACGAAGGTCATCGCCTTCAGATGTTGCAAAACCATAGTTTGTAGCTTACGCTGCGCCCATATGTTGTCATCCGTATAGAACAATTCCACACGGCAAAAGCTGCTCCTGACATACGGCACGAAGACAGCCTTGAGTAGTGGCAATGCATTAAGCTGCTCAAACATGGCTCGCACATCCGACTCAACATGCTCCCTCTTCGCTTCCACCCATCCACCGACTACAAGCTGCAACTCGTCGACCTCGCGCTGGCCATCACTGTCGAATCGAGGGCTGTTAGAACGTGCGGGGGCCCCTCGGGGGGTTGTAACGGGGCTCACGTTCCGAGTAGGCGGAGCACTCTTCAGTTCTTGTAAGTCACGTTCAAGCTCCTTAAACTCTTTGCGCATCTGTGCGAGTGCTGCTTCCTGTTCATCGGCTCTTTTCGTGAGCGTTTCCTGACCAACACTGAGATTCCTAATCCCCTCCTGAATTCTGCTAAGGTCCCTCCCAGAGTCCTGCATCTGCTGAGCCATCTGCTTCTGCGTCTGCACGATGGTGTGCAGTTCCTGCTGCAGCCCTTGAAGCCACACAGGCTCCACGTCGAGCCTGAAGTGTTGAGGGGCACCGGTGTTGGCAGCCAAAGCAGCCTGTGGGGCGGTCCCCTGCGGGCTAGTCCCATGGAACAGAGGAGGGTGCCGGGGAGGTTCAGGTGGCATAGCGGAGGGGGCAGACGACCCAAATGCCGGCGCACTGGGCAATGCGGCAGGCGCTGGTTTTTTGGGCATCTTGGTAGCGAGCTTCTGTTTTTTCTCAGGGCTTTCAGCTTGCTTGAGGTTTCGGACACTATCCACACTAGGGGGGTTGAGGGGCAGCGGAGAGGTAGCAGCCATCAACGCCTCCGCTGCAATGGCGGCATCAGTCAGTTCTTGTGTTGTAGGGCTAGGAGGTTGTCGCGCTCCTCGTGGTTTGGCTCCTCGCTCAAATCTCTCTCTCTCCCGGCCTCTTTCTCTACTACGATCCGCAGCTGGCGGCGGGGCGTTCGGAGATCCCGGCACATGTTCAACTTCCCCGTCTCCCCCCGGCGGAAGCATTCACCTAAGACCATACCCTTCATCCGGGCCCTCACCAACCACACGCACATCATTGTCCCCCGCAGGCACGTTCATCGCTTCGTCATCCTGAGTCGGTCCAGCACAGTAAGGGGAGACGGCCCCAAAGGGCACTGTCGATTCATCGGACATGAGAGTCAGGGCAGGAGTCGGAGAGCGAGAAAACAAGCAACGCAAGGGAAGCACCTACTCAGTTCTCTTCAATAGGGTTAACGCATTTTGCTGGACTTCGAAGAGATCTCCCAGGTTTAGGGTTTAGCGCTTGAGCCAAAATGGCTAAGATCCATGATGAACTGGCATCGCCAAACGAGGGGGCGTTTGAGATACATGATGAGCCAGAATCGCCAAATGAGGGGGCGTGTTTAAGACGATATGACAATGGTGAACCGGGATCGCTAAATGAGGGTGTGTGTTTATAAGATATATGATGAACCGGGAATCGGCAAACGAGGGGGCGTTTGAGATACATGATAAATCGCCACATGAGGGGGCATATTTGAGATGATATGACGATGATGAACCGGGATCGCCAAATGCGGGGGCGTGTTAAAGGTACATTGATAAACCGGAGTTGCCAGATACGGGTCGTGTTCATATGATGAACCGGAGTCGCCAAAAGATATATGACAAACCGGAATCGGTCGGCCCGCGGGTCGTGGACCGGGGCGGGGGTCGCGGGGCTTGCAGGGCTGCGTGACGGCGGGCCACACGGGCCGCGGGCTACGTGGCCACGTGGCCGCGGCCATCGCGGGCCGCACGTGCATAATTCTGTTGTGGGTGATGTGGCTCTGCTGTGATGATGCCTGGGCTCTGTCGTTTGCATCACACGGAGACTGCAGGCTCATCGGCTCAGCTACTGATTCAAGGTCAACCGACATGTGCACACGGAACTGTTCACAGACTGACATGTGATCAAGAAGCATCCAAGAAGCGCTCGCAAAACGACAATGTTGAATGACCGCCAACTGGAGTATCTCACGCCAGACTTCAAGCAAACTGAATCTTGGAGCGCTCTAAGCTGCGAGAAATTTCTCTGTCTTGCAATAAACAGTTAAACGGCAGGTATGTTCTCAGGACGTCTCCCGAGAATTTAAGCCAATGCAAAGGTCTTGCTTTCTTCAAGTGTGGCATGACATATGCACTTCGTGCTAGCCCTTTGGTACAGGGACGACACACACGCAGAGAGAGTGTACGGACGCTGAATCGGAAGGCCTGCGAAGCAAGCGCGGTTTCCCATCGTCTGTCGCAGTTTCAGCAGTAGTAGCTCCGTGAGATGCAGCATCATTTGCGAATCTGTGCTGCCATGCCTTCGCCGCCTGTCCAGCTGGCAGGAGTCCTGGGCACGGTCAGCTTCGCTGTCCTTGCAGAAAAGGTCCACTACCATTCGCGCTGTAGGAAAAAATGCTTGTGGGTGCCTCTGTCCCTCATTCTCTTGCCACTGGCGCAGAGCCTCTGCAATCACCTAGGCAAATGCACGAGACTGGACACAGGACCAGCAGTCCACTGCACTGGGCTACCTCCTTCTTGAAATGGTAGCCACGGGCATGAACAGGTTGGTCCTTTGCCAATCGATTCCTGTCCCAGCGAGCTTCGTGCGAGCAGCCGTACTTGCAATGCCAGACGTTTCTGACCTCATCTCGGATGCTGCACTTCTCCCTCTGTGCGTCAGGAACTTGACAAGGAAGTGCACCTAGGAACTCGAGCAAAAGTACAACTCAAGCATCCTGAAGCTTTTCCGCCCGGGTGGATTCTTTCTCGCCGACACTTCTCAACGCCGTTTGAGTATGCCACAGAGAATCTGAGCGAGTAAAGCAGACATCTTCGTTCCGAAACTGTTGGGTTGCAGCCGCAGGCCTCGAATGAATGCGGTGGCCATTACTCATGATCTTGGACAGACCAGACGTGTCCGTACCGACAACCTGAGTACCTCTGTGTAAACAGCCTCCCATTCTAGGCGTTTGGAGATACAGCCAGGTGGAGGTCTCAGCAGTCAGGGCGAAAAGGATGCGACGAAGTTACATTGCTTGATCTGAATCGGAGATCAGGGTTTCTATCCTCATCTGTGAGGGTTATTTATCATCGTCTGTCAACAGACAGATCAAGACGAGCTCGGGATTGACGGAAAAAAAATACGGGCGCCGCTGCGCCAGTATATGATAGCCCTGAGAGCATTCAGGTATGGGAGAAATATGATACCTACAACAGGGCCTGAACTAACAACTCCACAACTCCGCCACAACTCTGTCCTCAGCAAGCCTTACCCCAGAGCGCCTGCCCCTCTTCTGACTGGAGGAGCTCTGCCAAACATCGAGAAGCCTCAGCGGGGCATAGAAACGGGGCATAGTTTCTCACGCCCCATCTTGTTGTGTTCATTAATCCCAACCTACGGTTGGTGTCGCTGCATGGCAGGTTTTGCCGGCAGTTTGACGATGACTGCTTATGCTTTCTGTGTTGTTACATCTTGCCTTGCGTAGTGAAGCAGTCTCCATTCCAGGAGGTTGGCCTCCTTGCGCGAGAAGGCCGGCAATTGTCAGGCGACAAACACTCAAACAGACAGACTCAGACACGTCTCGCCCCATGTCGTGAGGCCTTCGCTCTCCATGGCATAGCCCATCCCATGAAGCCCTACAGCCCTCAAGCTGACTGAAAGGCAAGCGGAAGCAATCACTTCGTAGCTGGAGTTGCAATCCAAAAGCATTCCGAGACACCCACAAATCTGGCAGAAGCTTTTTCATGCGAGAGGTGCGCACCTGCTCTCGGCTGCTCGACAGAAAGCGGCTCAAACCTAGAGGCAATGGCAGTGCTTTGCTCCCACCTCACGTGGTTCCGGCCTTGGTGGCAAGCCACTCCATTGCATCCAGGAAATGACAGGGCACAACTTCTCTTGCGGTTCGCGAGGACCAACCTGCGACCAACCAACTAAGGCTTTCGAGGGTTGTAGCTTTGAAGAGGACATGCACACTCTTCGAAAACTCCCTTGCATGATAAGTGTGCTGCATGTATGTATGTATGTATGTATGTATGTATGTATGTATGTGTGTGTGTATGTATATATATATTTATGTATGTATGTATGTATGTATGTATGTATGTATGTATATGTATATGTATCTATATTTTTTTCTCTCTCTCTCTCTCTATCTCCCTGTGTGGGTGCCTGTCACGCTCCATGACATTGGGTTAGCATGGTTTAGCATGGGTTAACCTTTGGGATGTCCAAGAAGAAAGCAGCACAGGCGGACAAGGGCTCCAGTGCCAAAGCCCTTGCAGCCAATTCGCGGGACTGAATGCAGTCGCTGATCACTACTGTCTACATGCAAGGTGACATCCTCTTGTCGCCAAGTCAAGGAGGGTTTGGAACAATGGTTGCTGCACATTGGTGAATCTGCTGCGCCACACTTTTTTACCTTGAGAAGGACTCGACCAAGGTTTCAGGTCCCAACATTCTAAGTTAACACCGGAGCAGAACTGCAAGCTTGGCAGGATATACCTTTGGCACAGGATGGATGTGCACGTGCTTGTGTTCTTGACCACGGGAAAGGCTACCCTCAGTCTACAAAGCCAAGCCAACCCGAGAGGCCTAAGGCTTTCACAAAGGGAGCATCAACATGGCACCTTTGGTTTGATTTTCTGGGGCCAGAAGATGCAGGTAGTCCTCTTTTCCGCTTCATGTCTCGACGAGAACCTGAAAAGGAAGGGAGACTTACAGCAACGAACCCAAGGCGCTGAACCGGAAAGGAAACCCAAAGCGAAGGGACATGCGGGTACCTTATCCCATGCCTGCCATGCCGGGCCCGGCGCTCGGCTGCGGCTCCGCCGACGACGGCCTGGCCACATGTCCCAGAAGGCCGGTCAGCGGTCTCTAGAATCTGAGATCCTTGCTTCTGCTTCTGCCGCGCCGCTCCTAGGCTGCGACAATGTCAGGAACTTTCCAGCAAGACATAGCAAGACCCTTGATGCGAGCCTGTCGATCGCCGCCTGCGACATGCAACAGTCATCTCATTCCAGATTAAGCACAAAACAAGAATGCAACTGTGCGTGGCCTCCCTCGCCATGTGTGCGATCACGGTCACCGCGATCACGGTCCCGGTCGCCGCGCTCACCGCGCTCCTTCTCCCGGTCTCGGTCGCCACGATCTCGATTGCGGTCGCGGTCGCCACGTTCGCCGCGGTCGCCACGATCGCGATCGCGGTCACGATCGCTGGGACGGTCGCGCTCGCCGTTTCGACCACGCTCACGGTCTGGCCTCCCAGTGGCTCTTGAAAAGTCTACTGATTTCGGTACGGGCAAGAAGCACCAAGGAAGGCGAGGGCGGGTCTCATTTTTTCCCGCTGTGTAGACTACAGCATGCCAGCTACCAATCAGTGAAAGCTTCATCAACAAACAAGCAGGAAGAGTCAGGAAGCCGCCAACAGAGTCCAGAATGTGTCGTCGACGTCGTGCGTAGCTTGCGCATGGCCGCCCCTGCCAAAGGACAGACAAATCCTGCGAAAGAGACTCGGAATCTAGTTGCTCTACAGCCCCTGCCCTGCGACGGCACCTCAAACTCTCGAGATGCTCCGCGTGTCGGTTAGCAGCTTGCTTCTCGAAAGGCCTTTGCCCGGAGACGTGTGCGAGAAGGGAGCCAGCTTGCCAGTCAATTGCCAAGGGGCGAGGCACTGGGCCCATCGTAGACATAGATCTTCTCTGGTGCATCCAGGACGAAACTGTCGGAGTCGTTGACCATATCCTGCCAGACTTTGGGCAACTTTACCCTCGAGTCGTGCTCATGGTGCAAGCTGTATCTGCCTTACCTTCTGCAGTCCAAGTTGCCTTTCTGACCGGAACTTGCAGGACCGAAGTCTTACCCTTCACCTTCCTGACCTGGTACAGTTTTGTGTCATGCCCCTCAGGCACGACATGCTTGAAGCCGCTATTGATCCCGCCATCCAAATATTTCAGATCGGGGAAGAGAGCAGAGAAGGCTGGCGATTCCTTGCCCATCTCCTCGCGCACCTGCTTGGGCTCACCATCGAGGAAGTCATCAAGTTCAACTGTTTTGTATGCTGCCGTGCCCTTCTCATCACTGGAGCTCTCAGCTCCTATGTAAAAAAATATGGTGTGCAACAGCTTGCCGTCTGCTGCTTGCTCCGAATGCAGCACAATATATGAGTCTCCCTTGTGGAACTGCCCATGAAGTGTGGAGTCCACGGGGACCACATGGAAGTGCTCAATGCGCCAGACTTGAATGCCAGGCTTCGTGCCCAGCCCTTCCCAAGCAGGCTCCATCATCGCAGCCATCTTTCTTGTAGCCTTGTCCTCGTCGCTGCCAACTGCGCCTACATTGCTGTCTCGCCAGTCGTCTGCCGCCATCGCTGGCCAGTTTGTCACAGGGACTATAGCACAAAATTACGGCTGCAAAACCCGAAAGAACGGCCAGTCTGTGGCATCTGAGCTTTTCGGGCAAGTGCAAGCCACAGCTTAAAATGACCGCCGGCACCTGTCACCCTTGTCCCCCTTTTCACCTTACGTGGCGGTGATATTTCGCAAACTGCCCAGAACAGCAACAGCATGAGGAGCAAACGATCACGGGGAGGCCCTTCGCCAATGTTTGCCTGGCACGGTTCTGTAGCACGCCGGAAATCAAGCACGATGCGTAGCATTTACAGACGTGCAGCCGGAGCATGGGCCTCTGCCCGTCCTACGCGCCGCCCATCACGGTCGTAGTTCCCGAGGTATGGTCCTGGGCATGTTCGCAGGGAATCAGAGGTGCAAAACAACGAAGCCCATACCATACCCAATCCACGTCCAACACCTACCGTCCAGGGTCGTGGCGATCCCGGTAGCCCTTTGTGCCGTAAGGGACCTGGCAGGACTGCCTGCTATTGCAGAGAGCAAACTTCCACGCCCAATCCCGTTGTACACGCGTTTGGCATTTTGAAGATGTGCGTTCGGGGTGAGTCTCTGACCATGTTCCCTGATGCTTCACAGTTAACAAGTCACACGATGCCGAATTATATAGCCTGGCAAACTGCAAAAGACGCGGACCCCTGCACACCACATCTACATCACACCGACCGAGCAACATAACTGTCGAACCTCTCCCAGCGGTACATCTTTCCGGAGATCTGCTAGCCTGTCGCAACTAGCGATGTTAAGCATGCCAACAGATGCCAAAACTTCACGATGGCCGGAGCTTCATGAGTTCCATATGCACTTGAGCTGTGCTTCTCCGTGAGGACATAATCACAAGGAGCTGGCTTCAGCATCACGAGGGCTGATGGATTGTTGGAAGCCTTAGGAACTCAAGCATTCCAAACTTTGAGTTCAGCCTTCAGCGACAGGCGAGATGGCAACTGACACTGCGCAGTCGAATGGGTGACAGAGCAGTGGATGTGCCATGCTCTCTCGCCGGAGTCTACCGACTTTTCCCCCAGCCGTGCCAAGCTCCAAGCTGCCAAGTGCGTGTCCAGGGCTTTAAGGACGTCCTTCCTCGGCATTAGAGTCAGTAGAGACAGGAGCAGACCATTGAGGCCCACAGGCTGGGGTACCCGACTTATTCGGCTTCGTGGACAAGACCTGGAAGGCTGCAGAAGACACTGCGGTGCAAAAGGCTGGGTCGAGGGAGGTGGAGCGGTGGAATATGAGAGAATGAGGAAAGTCACTTTCCTTCCCCAGGCCTTATGCGGCATTTCAATATCTCCTTGCTAAGTCTGCGAAGTCTGCTAAGTGTCATGAAGCCTGCCTCACTGAGCTTGTATGCAGCACGCTCGTCGAGCTTGAACTTCTCGGCCAGCGACTGCACTCCGGCCTCAGCAGCGCGACTAGTCCGACTGAGGACACGAAAATATATCCCCAGCGGTAGCTCCCTAAGAAGACATGTCCCGGAACCTCTCTTCTCTTCCTTACCCTTACCTTTTTTGGAGTGACGTTTCTCGGGGACCGTCACCCGAAAGAGCTTTGATGAGATCAAGAACACGACACCATGTGCACACTGGGGTCAGTCTCGGTAAATTGACCTTGTGTGCGTTGGCTCTTTGATCGCCAAGCTGGCAATGGAGGCAGACGTGGCAAGGAGCAAAGAAAAAGGACCCGTTATTACGTTTCTTCCACTGTTTGTTTTTGAAGTCTTACTTGGAGGGCCGGGGCCAAGGCTGCGGAGTTGGCATGGCTAAGCTGCAATTTGTTTGCTTGCTAGGGGTGCTTCTCCTCCGGTCTGTGCCTCGACAAGCTCCGACGCGTCTACAGCACGTCAGTCGTCGCCAACATGTTTCTCCGTTGCCCCACTGATAAGGCGAAAGAGATGTGCCTTTCGAGAGGTAACTGGATGGTGTCCTCAGACCACTCGCTGGCCGTTAGGAGCTCTCCGGCCATGCGATGCTCAGCACCTGAGCACCACTCACGAACAGTTCGGTGCAAGGCTCAATGTAGCAAACGATGACCACAGCTGTCACAGCCACCAAACAGCCCAAGCACAAAGTTGAAACATGCCATTCCTACAAGGCTTTCTTGCCTTCAGAAAGCGGAAATCGAGGACTGCTGTGGTAGCAAACTTGCCGTGTAAGAACCCTGGCTAGATTTTATCATGCTGAAGCAAAAGCCCTGGAGAACACATCTAGAGCCTGCTTGGGCCTGTGCTGTAGCCACCCGCGCTGGCTCTGTTGCGCACAGCCTACCGGTAGTTCATGGTCGCCAGAATTGTATCTGCCAAACCATCCCGAGCCAAGAATTCTCGATGATCCACCGCCCCAGAATTGTCCGTGTCGAAAACTGCCCATACTGCACTTAGGCTTTCACGCAACTGCGAGATTCCTCCGACGTCGATCTGGAAAGTCTTTCCAAAAGCCCGCACGACTTCTTCAAACTCCAGCTCGCCACTCTCGTCTTCGTCCCAATACCTGCGAAGACACAGCGGGAAATAGCAAGCTCAACATGTTCGCCAAACCCCCTAGCAATGCCCTAGCAGCTCCTCAAGCGGCCCTGCCCAGCCCCGTCTCCTGTACCAACCGTCACGATCTCTGCGCAAATCCGGGATTGGGGCTTCCGCGGCGACCTTGGCAAAGGAATCACGAACGAATTTAAGGATGCCCTTGTCGTCATCCATGATCTCGATATACTCAATGAAGCCGCTCCTCAGAACATGTCTGCCCCGACTGCCCGTCAAGCCGAGTCATCCGAGTTGCAACTACGAAGCTTGATAACCTTGCACCGGGCAGAGTGCTGACAGACAGGGCACTGGTCAGCATCCCACAGATGCCAAGCCGCATCATCTGTCCGGAATTTATCGATCGCCCGGTTGTCCAAAGGCAGTTGCGCCTTCAGCGCAGAGACGACCTCGCCACGACTCAGCTTGCGATCGCCATCAGCATCACAAAGACGGAACCAAGCTTTGGGGTCCTGAACAACTCGGCATCGGCATGGAAGCATGTGCCGCAAAGATGTTTCGGCTCAAGCTGAAAAATTCCAGGAGAGAATTGTCCTTTGTGATGCTTGGTACCTCTTCTGCTTTGGCGACCGGCAAGTTTGTCACCGGACATCTTGCAGCATCTCCGTGGAGTTTCAGGAATGCGCTTGCAGCGTCCAAGCTGTAGAATTGTGGACCAACCCGCTTTCCGGCAGCGTCCAGGAAGACAGCCTCATGATGCGTGGGAAGGCTGCAAGTATTGGAGGGCTGATGGCGAATCTATGGATTTATGGCACTTGGAAATTCTGCAATCTGAAAAGGAAACTAAATTGTTGCCCCCACGTCCCGAGCGCTACTCGGGAGCACGTGCTGGCTGAGGCACCACAGGACCTTTGTACAGCGGCGTGAAGGAGAGCGGACATTCCGCATGGCGCTCCGCAACGGGCAATCGGGCCGCTGCGGACATGGCGCATAGAGATGCACACAATTGCACACAGATAGAGTGCGAACTTGTCGAAATCCACGAGGAAACTACGCACAGCCAAACCCTCCAAACACATGCAACCCTCGACGAACAGCCGAAGCCAGCTAGTCTGCTCTGCCACCATGAAGAAGCAATGCTTCAGGCGTCATACCCCACGGACAGCGCTGGCCGAAGAGCCGAGGGACCACCCAAGCCGATGTGTTCGCATGTGTTCGGCAAGTGCACAAGACCCCAAGCGCCGGGCATCCTTCTGCTCGCCGGCACGAAACGTGCCTTCCAGCATCTCCTTCACCTGTGCTGCGGGCACCAAACCCAGTAAGAACTTTGCACTGTAAGGACCTTGATCATCGTGAGGCCGGGCGGATTCCTGGCTTCATCCAGGATCTCCCACATAACCTGACCCGAAGTCACACGTGCAACAACTTCATTGAAGTTGCAAAAACCGTGGCAACACGGGTATGCAGCGGAGAACCCCAGCAACAATTACAGATCTAGCCACCTGCAAATCCGTCCCAGGATCTGGGCGAGTATTGAGAGCCTCCCGACGAAGAGCAGCGAGAGCCATTGGAAACAGCAACAGCCCATGCCGTGCACGAAGCCATGGGGGTGTGGCCTCTTGCAGCTTGCCGGTGATGCGCTCATCCAGGCCGAAGTGATCAGCGATGTCCTGTCAGGCATGGCCAGGGCATGGCACGTATGTTGTGGCCAGTGAAGGCGCTGAGCAGAGCACCTGCACCTCGGGCTCGATCTTCACCAAACGCCAGGAGTCCTTCAACACATCAACACACGACAGCAGCCAAAACCCCGAGCAATGCCTGCGTGATGATGTGCTTGGACTCTGCGGCTTCTTGTGCGGGAGCACAGGCCTGAGCAGGTCATAGAGCTATCGAGCCCTTCCCACAAATTCCCGAATACTTGGGAATGTTCGCTGCCAAGGTTGACCAGGAGAGGCCTGAGCTTTCAGCATGGGAGTCGTCACTGATAGTGCTGCGTCTGCTGGGCTGCCGGCATCACTGTCACCAAGTACGGGTTCCCTGGCCTAGCATGATGTCAGGAAGGATGTTCGACTGGCCGTGTCGTTGAGCTGGCCCCACATGCGACAGCTGCTGCAAAAAGGGGCTGACGCAAATTGGTGAAATTTCGCAGGTGTACCACCTCAACGGAGCTCGTCTAACACCACTCATGGTCCCTCAGGCACTTGGTTGGACAGGCCTTGGCCAACCGGAGGACCATTTTGGGAGTTCGCCTTCGAATACGTCAACCGGACAGTTCACGCCAGCATGCTCAAACATCTGCAGAGCCTGCGGAGTGCATTTTCTGATCCGTGCAACTGCTGCGGTCAGGAGCTTCATGTCTCGTTTCAAAGTGCCGGGACCAGAACTGCACCCCACATCAGCAAGCGTGCTCTGTCAAGGAGCTGTCACTGCGCTGACGAGTCGTTCTACGCTTGAGCTCGCCTGTACTTAAGTACCTTCGGGTGGTTGCGAATCATGACGGCAATTTCCGTCTGCCTCGCTTCTTCTGCCATTTTCTCGGCATCCTTAAAGGCTTTGGTGTAGGCCAAAACAGAGGTGAAGCGCGGATGGTCCAACAACATCTTTGCCACGTCCTTGCGACCAGACCTTGCAGCAGCATGCAGCGCCGTTTGCCCGTACCTTTCTCTCCAGTCCTGGCGCCACTGATCCGCCACAACCACTTCGTTCACAGCGGTGAAGTGCTCACAATCAAGCAGCGCGAGGACAACAGCCAAATGCCCACCCTGTGCTGCAACATGGAGCGCGGTACCATCCTTCACGCTGTGTGCGTTCTGGTGTGTGACTTGCGGACATGCCAGGAGCTCCAGGCAGACATCCACCAACCCACGGCTTGCAGCTAAGTGCAAGGCAGTGTACCCACTGCCGTCGCTGCAGGTGTCATTCACCCCGTCAAAATCTTCCTCCAGAAGAGTGAAGCGGATCATGTCGAGCTTCCCAGTGATCACCGCAGCGTGCAAGACATTGAGCCCACGGACTTTGCTAGCGGACGTAGACCTCTCATTGAGACCTCTGAAATTGAACTCATGCTGTCGAAGCGCTTTGAGCAAGTTGGGAACGCTGGGCGTGACTAAAGCAAACACTTCGCTGTCGGCCAAGGACTGTACATCAATGCACTCCTCAAGGACATCCTCACCTCGAAGAAGCCGCACAAACTCTGGACATGTCTGGGCAGACTGCGCGATGATCTGTCTCAAGTCTGCCAATGTTCCAACAGCAGGAATTTCCGTAACCTCGCCCGACATCATGCGAACGGTCACCTTCTCGCACATCGGCGCAGCCATTGCGGGAAACAAGTAGGCTTCGGATGGGAGAAAATCCATCCAGCACTTCTGTCTTTGGGCAATTCTGCTGCAGGACCTACAACATTCACTTGCTCGCCGCCGGATCTGTAGACTTTTTCCGTCTCAAGCAGCAATAGCAACACATTAAACTGCAGGTTTCCCGAAGAAGCATTACTGCCGGCGTCGACACGCAGCACATCGAGCGATCTGCCTTCTCTTTCTGCGGGGTTGGCGGCACGAGTTGGCGAAGGTGTAAAATGCGACGGAGCCCAAACACACCCAAAGCCTGTTTCGGAAACGGCCCGATCATTAACGAAAACCATGGTGTAACCTGACCGAAGCCCGTCGGAGCAGTAGCTGCGTCGGTCGCCTTGCCTCAACCAAAAGTAGTCCCACGACCATGCTGTTGCCACTCGCATGAGTGTGCAAGAGCTGTGTCAAGCCATTTGCAGCGAGATGAGGTTGCTGGCACTGCGATTTTGAAGAGCCGGAGGTTGTCAAGCTTGGAGCAGTCGCGCTTGCCCAGAAGTCGGTTCAGGTGGTTTTGAGATGATTGCTGTCCTGAGTTCTCAAGTTCAGCTTGCACTCAGCTTGGGGCCAGGACTGCCGTGAAGCATCGATCATATGTCGGCAGTCAGGAAAGCAGACCTGAAATCCTTGTCATGTGGTGTGGGATGTGACTCCGATGGGTGCGACGCTGGCAGGCTGTAAGAAGTCGCTGGCCATGGAGCTTGGAAATCGTCCCGGAAAACTGTGCAATGCAACAGGGGAGACAACTGCATCCGGGATTGACCACCGGCAAGTTGGGATTTTACGAAGGCGCTCCGCGGGACGCGAAGGACTGTCTAACTCCTGAACCTCTGTGACAGGAGCCCGAGCAACACATTGGAGGCTCGCCTGTGTGGTGGGCGGGTTCCGCATGACATTGAATTTGTAGCTTGGTGGACACGGGCCAGTTTCTGTTGCAGTGGCGCAAGTTTCCGGTGCCAGCACCCTCGCTTCAACGACAAGCCGGTTTCCTCGAAGAAGCTCCCGTCGTATCAAGTCGTATCGCCCTCATTACTGTTGCGACGTTTCCCAGTCGACTAAACACGGGTTTGGTGCAAAGCGCGCGACGAACAAAGATCGACACCATGTCATTGGGTGCAAGACTTCGAGGGAGTACCAGACTTGCAGCGAACGAATTAGTGAACGTCCGCACCGTGAGGCAGCTGCTTCGAACATGCTATTGCGCATGGTGAAGCTTCGCCTTGGCTAGGATGAATCCGAGGGTTCGGGATTCCGAGGTTTTGGGGCCGGCTTGGGTCGTGGGGATTACGGATGTAAGAGCTGGGGCTTCCAGCCCCCGGGTCCTCGTTCAGATTGGTCTTCATGCGCAGGGCGTGGCATTTATCGTGCGTTCGGGCGAGGAGGCTCGAGATCTCGACGCAGGCAGCGGCACTGGCCTCTTGCACGAGGCCCCCCAGGCCGTCGAGCGCTCGCTTCCTGCGCGGAGGAGATCGGCAGGGCTCGGGCTCGGGATTGCACAGAATCTCTACACCTCCTCTGCAACAACTTTAGGCATGAGAAGCACTCGCAGACTTGTTTTCCCCCGCATCGGATGAGGACGATTGGATCCCTTCCTCAGCTTTCGGACCATGAGGCTTGGGGAGACTGACAGCGGCATCAACTATCTCAACAGCTGATCAAGCAAGACTCTGCTTCTCCTTCTTCGGGAATTGAGAAAGCAATCAGATCCGTCAGCTCACCGCCTCGGGTCAAGCCAATTTGCAAAGCCGTCTGGTCATGATGCCGTCTCAGACTCAAGCTCGGGTCCAGACGTGCACGTGCCACGGCGAGAGAAGCCAGCAGCACACAGGGGCAAATGTACAGAAGAGCTGGTTGGGCATGCTGGAAGATCATCATCACCGTCTCGGTTTTTCGGACTCCGTGACTGAACATGTGAGGGGAGCCGGGCAGGAGCTGAATGCTGGGTCCCCAACTACTGTCAAGATCAAACTCAACATGTACGCAAGAAGGCAGAAGTTCAGATAGACAAAGCTCTTGCTCGAACCAGCTGCTATGTTGACCTGAGCATTTCGAGCACGCCGCCAAGCAGGCTTGTGAAACTATTCTGCTGCAGCACAGCATCCCATTTCGCAAGGAAAGACGCGAACAAACCTCCAACGAAGAAAAATCGTAAACTGGTGCACCGCACTCCCGCAGGCATCTCTGTGGCTTGGAACTTAACTGCAGCAAACCTGGAACTGCAATGTCACCAAGGCCCAGCATGTTAAACCTGCAGAGGAGTCACGAGAAGTGCAAGATCACTAGGCTCGAGGGCGCCAGTCTGAAGAAAAGGTGTCTGCCAAAGGACTGCAGATCTCCGCACCCACCGAAGTCCCGCGGAAGCATCAATTTAATTGGAGCCTGCAACAGTCAGCACGCAAAAACCAAGCCTTTCTTCCGGCGAGTCTCTCCGACCAGCCTCTACTCCCTTCGCCACCGACACCATGACGTTCGCTCCAAAAACCGGCTTGCTGAAGAAAACCCAGAACCTGCCGGCAGCGACCCATCCTGTACCTCGATCTGCCTTCCTGGCTTTGTCAGGCAGTGGCACTGTCGATCCTATCAGCTATCTATGATGAGTCCAGTTGCACATCATAGACGAACAAACCGCTCAGCAGCACCACACCAGCACCATAGCTGGACAGGTTGATGGACCTTTCCCCATTCGTGTCACGAGATCTCGGAGTGAGCAAGTTGCACGGGCGCATGCCAGTGCCTGATTCCAAGCAGGCAGAAAGAGAACCCGAGGATGTTATTTACGATCCAATGGCCGGTTGAAACCTGGGCCGGTCAAGCAAACCATGTGATCCACGAGACATACAAATTCAATCCAGTCGCATAAGCCACTGCCAGCACGGCCGCTGCAGGCATGCCAAAGACGTGTGCCAGGGAGATCTGTCCAAGATAAGCTTGAACAGGCCCACTGACAGGCTGACTCTGCCTCCAGCTGAGCAAAGGAGACCAAGCAACCTGGCGAAGCACGCCAAGCATCGCCAAGCTGTCAGCAGTCATGGCCTTTGCGAACAGACTGCAGCTCAGAGGCCACGCTTGTTTCGGACCAGGTGGGCGACAGTGTCGATATTCGACGCCATGCCGAATGCAGAAATCCACACCATGACCGTTGTGATTGCATGCTTTAGCCAATCATGACCTCAACACGAATTCGATAGTTGCACGTTTAGCCTCCTCGCAAGATTCTGCAGCCACTGTTCAGCCAGGCCACCTAAGAACCTGATAACTACGAAAAGGCCGAATAGGGCTCCTGTCAACCGCAATGCCAAATAAATACATGCAACGAAGGTACCTGACTGCCCCACTGCCCGGTCTGTGATTTCAGTCCTGAACCCAGAACTGGAAGCCAGTATGCATCCTGGCATGCTGACACACCGCGTATACAGGATGGAGCTTATTTTTGTTGTTGGCCTTCTTTTTACCTGCTGCCCCAAGTGCTGCTGTCCCATCAACCCTGCCCCACCGCCCCGGCCCTGCTCCCGGTGTCTGCGTACCCTGTTGGCCGTCCCCTGCCTGCCGCTGCCACTGCCCTGGCCCTGGCCAGCCCCCAGCCTTTGCCTCTAAGCGTGCCGTCTGAAGTAAGAAGAAGCATTAATAATAAAACTGGCAAAGGCAAAAGTGGGCACAATCAGTGTAAGAATCATGGCTAACAGGAGTGGTAGTAGTAAGAACGATACCAATAATGAAGATGAAGCAGGAGGGCTGGTGATAGTAATGGTCGTATTAACAGTACTAATAGTACCATTAGCAATACTGGAAATACAGGTAGAGCCAGTAGCCATCGTAGTAGCAATGGTAGTAGTAGTAGTAGTAGTAGTAGTAGTACTCGTAGTCGTCGTCGTTGTCGTGGTCGTAGTCGTGGTCGGAGTCGTTGTAGTCGTCGTAGTCGCCGTAGTCGCGAGTAGTCGTCGTCGTGGCAGTTGTAGGCGTAGTGGTGGTAGTAGTACTTGTTGTTGTTGTTGTTGTTGTAGTTGTTGTTGTGGTGGTAGTAGCAACAGTAGCAGTAGCAGTAGTAGCAGTAGCAGTAGCAGTGGGAGTGGCAGTGGCAAGGGCAGGGGCAGGGGCAGTAGTAGTAGTAGTAGCAGCAGTAGCAGTAGCAGTAGCAGTAGCAGTAGCAGTAGCAGTAGTAGTAGTAGTAGTAGTAGTTGTTGTTGTTGTTGTAGCAGTAGTAGTAGTAGTAGTAGCAGCAGCAGTAGCAGTGGCAGTGGCAGTGGCAGTAGTAGTAGTCGTCGTCGTCGTAGTTAGTAGTAGCAGTTAGCAGTAGTTAGTAATAGTGGTGGTAGTGGTAGTAGTAGTCGTACAGAGTGCCGGGATTTAGAACAATTATTTGGCCAAGATTGCCACACAATCGTGCAATCTTGGTCTCGCCGACTAGTTTGCCTTTTAGACCAAGATTGCGGCCAAGATTGCCAAGCAATCTTGCAATCTTGGTTTCTGAAAGGTAAACTAGTCGGCGAGCAAGTGGGGCACGGGCAAGATGAGCAAGATTGCCAGATTGCTTGGCAATGTTGCTCCCCTCCGCCTGACCAAGATGACCAAGATTTCCAAGACGGTTCCAAACAATATTTGATCTAAATTCCCGGCAATGCAGCAGCAGTAGCAGTAGCCATGTCAGTAGCAGTGGCAGTGGCAGTGGTGGTAGTAGTAGTAGTAGTAGTAGCAGCAGCAGTAGTAGTAGTAGCAGCAGCAGCGTTGCCAGTAACAAAAGCATAGTAAGGGGATGCTTCTGCAATCCTAAACCCTGAACCTCGTTA